TGCATGTTCGTGCGTGCGTGTGTATATACGCAGGAAAATGCCAAGAAACAGTAGTAAAAGTTAGCAGAGACCAGAGAGTAATTAAGATATATTCAAAATAGAATTTTACATGACATCTTGTAGTCAATGCTGTTCACGTAAACAGTTGAAGAGCTATATCAACTTTCACATATATTTGATAAATTTTGTCCAACAGCAGCTTAAACCCTGCAAGTGTTAGAAAATATTTAAGATGGATAAATATAGAGTTGATTTAAAGATGTAAAAATACTAATTTTTCTCATATAGAAACAACCTTTAAATATAAATAAATTTTCTAAACCTTAAAAAAAACCCAATAAAAAATCTATTTTTATTGTATATTATTTTTTGTATAGTAACATATTTTAAAAGATTTCATACATAAAAAAATAATATATAACTGTTGATGAAATCATATAATCATTAATAAAAAAATTATATTTTAAATTAAATTGAATAACTGTTATTCAATTTTATCTTAATAGTACAAATATCACAATTAATTACAAAAATTAATTTAATAATAAATTAATTTTCCTAACATATTAAATTTCAAGTTATATATTTTGATATTATAAATATCTATATTATAGCATTAGAAAACCCTCTACAAGAATCATTTTAATTTATTACATAGTAAAAACTTACATTTATAAATATTAGGAGAGAATCTATAAATATTTTATTTATTTATTTACAAACTAAACCAGCAACCAACAATAAATATTAAATCTAAATATCTTTCTACACCACACTTTTTCCATTTTTAGAAAAGCATTGCTGATTATCCATTTCTTTCTTTTGGGTAGAGTTGATAATGTATAAAAAATGGCTTAGCTATAGGCAAATTAAATAAATACCTTGGATATATAGCATAGAATAATATAATTTTTTTTTAAAGTTTGTCAGTTTTGTCGTCATTATAATTTTTCTTGTCATTTTGTTTCTCTATCTTCAAAATCAGAGGTTATCTAATCCTTGTCATCGATCAATATATGTTAATCTATGCTAATTAATATAAATTTCTATATAATAATCATATGATTTTTATTTTTTTTTACTTGTGATGGGAGTTTAAAACTTGGACGCTAAAAAGCTCTTAGGAATTAATTCGTGAGCTCTTATATGCTTATCAATTCTATTTTTAAAAATATATTGTTTAATTCATTTTCCTTTGGAACTAAAATTTACATAATTATATAATTGAGAGTCTCCAGGGCATCTTAGAGAAATTAATTAAAAAAATGATGGTTTTACATCATTAATGTAGTTGATAATTAATGAGGTTTTGATGCACACATATAGTGCTCACTTGTTGTCGCGTGGTGTATTTCAAAATCTATTAATAAGAAATGCAAGGGTTAAAATTTTCTGAAGAAATTTAATTCCAAGTGAAAGTTGTTTTTTCTTATTCATGTAATTTTTCTTCTTTTGATAATAATATGCGTTGTTTTTATTAGCATTATGATTTATTGAATAAAAGCTAATGTTAATAAACAAAGATGTTCATAAAAATGCTAATAACTTGAATTAAAGAGGAAAAATATATTTTTTAATAAAAAAACTCTATTTTTTTGTTCATGTATTTTTCTTGACAGAAATATGTTTTTCTATTAGAAGAATGTTTTGAAATAAAAAACTTATCCTGATGATAAAAGCAGGTTTCATTACAAAAAAACAAGAAAAATCATGAATAAATCATTTTTAGTATCTACTAGATTATTGGTCTGCACTGCACTGTTAATCAAATAATTTTTTTAAATCATATTTTTTATATAAAATTAAAATATAATAAATATTGAATGATATATTTTTTAAAATATTAATACATATAATTTTTAAAAAATATTAAAACATATTAATATTTGATTGATTTAAGCTAACATGTTAAATATGTGATTCTGATAATAAAACTGTGATAATTCTGTAAAAATAAAATTAAAATAAATTATAATTTTTTTAATCAATCTAATATTAAAAAGTAAAAAATAAATAAAAATTAAAAATTAAAAAAAAAAAACAAAAATCAACCCTGAAATTGTATGCTAATAGGTTATTAATCATTAACTTATTTTGTTTTGGACAAGGAAGAAACGGTGCTACCAACTTTAGAATAGTTGGCATCAATTTTTTCCAAGTTTTTGAGGAATCACATTTTCTAATCTTGAAAGTCAGAGTTGAATTAATTATTAACTGATTATAGTTAATTAAGAAACATATTTGACCATTGATCAAATATATTACAAACAAGAATGTCCATCGTGTAGCATGAGGTCGTTGTGGCTAGCTGGACCACCCCGGTATAGGCTCCGGCGGACCTGCTGGTCAATACAGTATTCACAGCCATGTTGAACATGTACGTTGCTTGGAAGAAGGAATGTTAACAGCTCGAGGATAAGATTACTTCTAAATTGACGAGACCAATTTTGATGCTCTCGTGGTGCTAATTTAAAGTCACGAGCAATCATCGACCAGAATAAAACCAAATGATTGATCACAGAATAAAGCATGCAACATGCACATTCATCTATATATATATATATATATATATATATATATATATATATCGAGCAACGTGAAAACACAAATGGTCGATTGGAGTATGTTACTTTTGACTAAAATGATGGTGGCATCTTCTTTACCATAAAGAAAAACTGTTTGTGCTTTATGATCATGCTTTCTTTTTTATTTACTTTTTTGTAAAAGGAGAGTTAAATAATAAAGGGTTTTTTTGGGAGGTAATGATTGTTTTTGTAGAGTGTGTTTTGCTTGTAAATATATTAAAATAATATATATTTTTTAAAAAATTATTTTTGATATTAGTATGTTAAAATGAATTTAAAATAAAAATAAAAAAATTCAAATTATTTTAAAAATATCTTAAGAATTCAGAAACACGGGTTTGAGAAGTCATTGTCTAACGAAGATTATTTTATTTGGCATTGCTCAACTTTTGGAGACAATTTTTTCTTTTGGATTAATTTTAAGATTTGTGATTCTACTTTATGTCTTCGTCATGTTATGTTTTATAGGACTTGGACCTATGATTTTTGAATAGAAATCTTAATCCTCAACAACTAATTAATTTCTTAGGGAAGGACAGTCGGATTCGATGAAAAAAGATTCAGCTCATCGCCTGAATAATTTGCTAATTAAAGTTTTTTATTTAATCAAGAAACTAATCCACATCTTAATTACTCTTGCTAAGCATGACATAAATTACGTTGATGCCTTCGGCAACTCTGCTGGCTTTCCACAAATTCCTGGGCTGTATTAAATTGACCAGGCCGCTGCTTTCTTAAGCAAGGCCAGACGATCTTCTTACAAAACCCTACTCTTCGTGCTCTTTCATCAATGGCTGCTGTAGCTACTCTTTCTTTTTATCAACCACGTCAGTTTTTATAGCTTGACAATTTATTTTATTTTTATATATTTTAAGGCACTGAATCGTCGTCGTTTATCATTTCTGTAATGAGAATGGAAGAACTAGAATGATATTTTAAAATCAATACTGTGTTTATAATAACAACGAGAAATAATGTAAAATTCTTAATACTTTATTTTTAAAATAAAATAAAAATAATAATTTCATCACTAATAAAAATAATAAAGCCGATCGGAGAACCTGTCTATTACTACTCTCTTGCTAATACATTATCACTCTCCGACTCATGTAAAGGGAAAATGAGTTTTCATGTTGCCTTTATGAAATAAAAAATCTCTCTCATTATAAATATGTATATTAAACTTGACTCAGCGTGCATCTAATGACTTATAGCCTTGCTCGAGTTTTATTTTAAATTATTTTAAATATTGATCAAATTAAATATTAAATTTAACTTGGTATAAATTTAGTGATTATAACCTTACCTAAATTGAATTTTATTTTAAATTATTTTAAATATTAATTGAGTTAAATATGTTTCGCTGTAATTTAGATCAAATTAAACTAAAAAAATAAGATTAGATGAAGTAAATTTTATTAAACTAAAAAAATTTCTAAAATAATATTATTTTGGTCAAATAATTAACTGAATCAACCCAATAACCTAGAACTAAATCCAACAACCCAATAACCTAAACCCTAGACCAGGTCAGTTCCGTACAGGTTTGATAGCTTTGCTCAATAAAACTACAACGGCGGCAACAGGGGAGAAGAGTACCTTAAAAGAATTGGGCTTACTGTATTATTGGGCTCATATGGGCCTGCGCACATAATTTATTGGGTTCACTAGTACGATTTTCCCTCCCTCTCGAATGATGAACTGCCATGACATTAGCCATTTTGCCTTGCTCTTCCTTTCGAATTAACGATGAGAATGGCGTTTAATTTTTGATATGATGTTTAAAGGGTATATAAATTTGAATATGAATTAAACACACACACACACACTTAGAATTTTCCAAAAATAATTTATGGTACATTGTTGATGGTTGATACAAGATTTATATCACTAGGATTATTGATATTTGATAAATTTGTTTGTAAACCTTAAGACTCACATTTTTTTTCCATTTAAAAATTATCTCAAATAAGATTTTTATGCACAATTTATTGATGTAATTTATAGCCTTTAATTGTAGAGAAAATTCTCGAAACTTTTCTATAATATATATAAAAAAATTCAAATACATTAAAAGAAAATCTTAATTAGTAACTTCTAAGCTGGATTTGGACATGTTTTTATCGTTTTAATCATATAAATAACATAATTTTTATAATATATTGATAAAATTTAAGCTTGATTTAGTGATTATTATTTTTAAAAAAGAAAACAAGGCCTTTTTACACGTACAAATTTCTCCATGAGCTAATGCAGAGTAAATTTGATACACGTCATGTTGGTCAGTTGAGTGATTTAGCTTGATATCACCTTAATGTATTCAGAATCTTTTTGTGTAACCGTTATAACTGTCTAACTCGGGGAGGAAAAAAAAAAAACCCTCTAGAACCACCCTTTTCGTGCTCTATTTCTTTCTATACCTCTCAATCTCTCCCTATTTTTTTTTGTTCAAAATTTCTCCTGGGCTCATTAATTGTGTAGTTGAAGCTAAAAGGATTGCCTCTGTAAGTCCGTTCAATCTTTCCCTTGTAATAAAATCTTGCACTTTGATGAAATGTAGCTGAGTTTAAATGTCTCCTCAATCTTTTGTAAATCATCCGTACGCATCTGGGAATCAGATATGCATTTTTCTATCATGAAATTTCTCTGTTTATAATAGAACCGGTTAATGCATAATTAAGAGAGATAAAAAGGGTCCCATAAGATTTGGAAGGGTGTGTAGGTTTTCTACGTCAATATCATCAATGCCACTGCCATCATGGAGGGGATGATATCATAGGGCTAGAGTCCTTCCCAACTTAATTTGTATGCTGTCACGTTCATCTCCTACGAAATTTGGGCCCGAGACCTTTTTTACCTATTGTTTGAAAGTAAAAAGAGAGAGATCCATCAGAGAGGAATGATTCATGAATAGGGAAGGATAGAAAACCTATGATAATTACCTTCTTGTTGAGTACTTTCATCAATTTTTGTACCATCCCACCACCATAGAAAATTGGTACTTTTTCCTCGTGATGGTGCATTTACAGTTTGGTATTTTGCTGCGTTTATCGATGCACACTTTTCCTATTGAAAGAGACATTGCTGCTTCTTCTTTTTTTCTTTTTTCCATTGAATGTTGATTATTTCCCATGTCCAAGGATTTCCATTCCATGGTAGTGGTATCTTAAACGTTTTTGTTTTGGCTGTGCAGGAGTTTCTATATATTGAGTGATGTTAGATCATGGTAGCTAGTAACTTGCCTTGAAAGGTATCTATGTTCCCCATTCCGCAAAATGTTCGATTGTAACTACAAGTCACAATATATTGGTGGCCAGAAGGAGAAATTCGTAAGGTACATTAGATCCCCTTGTGTTCATCTTTTATTATTGTTGCCTTCTTCTCTGGTCTTGAGTGTTTTGTAGTAAATAGCAACAACCTATCTGCGTTTTTTTTAATGAATTATATCCAACTCAATGCTGGCTTGTTTTGGGAACTTGCAGATTGGATGATTTTGATACATTACCAGTGACCTCTAATAAGAAAGGAATGAAGAAAATGAGATTTAATTTAGATGGTTTTAACATAGCTGGCCCTGAAAAGAAAACTGCTTCAAAATCCCTTAGGTATGGGGTGAAAAGAGGATCAGAAGGAATGTTAACAATTGGACGATCACTTAGAACAGGAGTCACTCGTGCAGTGTTTCCAGAGGACCTTAAGGTGTCTGAGAAGATGATTTTTGATCCTCAAGACAAATCTCTTCTGTTATGGAATAGGCTTTTGATCATATCATGCATTTTATCAGTATCCGTTGATCCTTTGTTCTTTTATCTTCCTGTCTTCAACTATCGGATGGCCTGTCTGGGTATGGATACAAATTTAGCAGCAACAATTACAACTATGAGGACACTACTTGATGTTTTCTATCTGATTCGCATGGCTCTTCAGTTTCGAATAGCCTATGTTGCACCATCATCAAGGGTTTTCGGACGAGGTGAACTTGTGATTGAACCTACACAGATAGCCACCAGATATTTAAGCCGTTATTTTTTTGTTGATTTTCTCTCTGTGCTACCTCTGCCTCAGGTTTGAGAATTACTTCTCTTCTTTCTGACATTGTTGCATTCTTAAATTTTAGCCTATATCTTTTTTCCTCCCCCCTTTTGTTATGAATAAATGTCATTGACTCTATACGGTACATACTAAAATTATCTTCTTCTGCAGATAGTGGTATGGAAATATCTTAACAATAAAAAGAAGGGCTCGGAGGTGTTAGCTACCAAGCAGGCATTGCTAATTATTGTTTTTCTTCAATACATCCCAAGGTTTGCTCGCTTTTTGCCTTTGGGGTCAGACCTGAAAAAGACTGCCGGTTCCTTCGCTGAGAGTGCTTTTGCTGGTGCTGCGTACTATCTGCTTTGGTACATGCTTGCCAGTCATGTAAGTAATTGCTTTTATGCAGCTAGGTTTCAGTAGTTCTGTTTGGTCTTCGGATATTTGGATAGGAGTAGCAGCATTGTTTTTTACACCAACATTTGTATAAGTTCCAAGGAAATCAAGAAGATAACCACCCCAACAAAGTTCGGTTAGTTTCTGTGGATTGTGATGTTCTTAACTTGAATAAACGTAATGCGAGGGAAATGGCTCCAAATCCTAAATGTTTCACAATGGATTTATGGACTTTCAACATGATTGTCTACTGATTCTAGAACCTAAGTTTCTTAGTTTTCTCTTAAAAACAAATATTACTAAAATAGATTAAAGATGCCTCTGGAGCAATTTATCAAATTTATCTGACCAGACTCAGGTCCAACTTTACAGATAGCAGGTGCTTTCTGGTATTTACTAGCCATTGAACGCAAAGATACATGCTGGAGAGAAGCTTGCATTCTAAGTGGGAAATGTAACATAGACTTCTTGTATTGTGGCAACAAAGCACTGCCAGGTTTCCACGGTTGGCGAAGGATAAGTGATAAGGTTCTTGGAAACAAATGTTCTGTTAGCAAAGATGATAATCCACGATTTAATTATGGAATCTATTTCCAGGCTATGTCATCAGACATTGTGTCATCCAGGAACTTTGTCTCCAAATTCTTTTACTGTTTATGGTGGGGCCTGCAAAATTTGAGGTATCTTGTGTAGCTGATCTTTATGTTCATAATACATGACGAGATATTAGCACATCTCTTTGTTGCATTTTCAACAAAATTCGAGGTATCATGATTCTGCAAAAAGCTTTCCTGTTCAATTTGTCAAAATTTGAGTCTAGTCCACTGAGATATATGCGCACAAGAATCAAAAGAACATAATAAGTTACGAAAATGAATTTGCCGTTCTTTTTTTTTTTTCCAGCCTATATCAGAGTTGTAAGAACCTGGATTTCAATATCTATAGTTTATAGAAACTTCTCAGTCCAGTAGTAATAGTCAATGTTGGAGAGCATTTTGATTTTTTATTTATCAACTACTTATCCTTCCGAGCTATGATCATTTACTTCATTTACCAAAGAAGTATTCTAAGAAAACTATAAACTTTTCTGAGCACATAAATTTAGTCCACATGTTCAGGACTTGTTATGAAGATTCTTTGGTTTGAACAATCATTTACTTCCCAACTGTCATCTGTGCGTTCATCTTTAAAATTGATGTTGAAATTTGAATTCAGAAATTATTTCTGTTATTGGAATTTTATTTACTTGAAGCATTTGGTGTTTTTACCTCATACAGTACACTTGGTCAGGGCCTACTAACAAGCACCTATCCTTTGGAAGTTATCTTTTCTATACTATTAGCTATTGCTGGTCTTATCCTCTTCGCACTTCTGATTGGAAATATGCAGGTATGTTAAAATTTCCACTTTCTATGAATGCTCATGAATGTTTGTTTGTTTCAGATGCCTCCAATAATTAATATCTATATAAATATTTTTTATATATATATATATATATATATATATATATATATATTATCAATGCTGAGCCTACTCCTGTCATTGAATTCGTGTTATAACCTTATTGGGGACTGTGATTTTAGCTGATCCAACCAGTGTAATTGATATTGATCCACTCTAGAATTCATCAAACAGAAGAAACATCATTGAATAATGGTACTGATATTTGAGCTCTCTTGTGGTTGCAACAGACCTACCTTCAGTCTCTTACTGTTCGTTTAGAGGAGATGAGGATTAAAAGGCGTGATTCTGAGCAGTGGATGCATCATCGCTTGCTTCCGCAGGATCTTAGAGAGCGAGTTAGGCGCTATGATCAGTACAAATGGTTGGAAACTCGTGGAGTGGATGAAGAGACTTTGGTTCAAAGTCTACCAAAAGATCTTAAAAGGGATATTAAGAGGCATCTCTGTCTGAATTTGGTCAGAAGAGTAAGTATGCTTTTATTCTTTAGTGTTATCTTTGATGCTCCTCTGGTTTGCTTTTTTCCAGTACTTTTTGTGGAAATATGTCTTTGAACATGGTGGTTATGCAGGTCCCTCTATTTGCCAACATGGACGAAACATTGTTGGATGCCATCTGCGAGAGACTGAAGCCAAGTTTGTATACAGAAGAGACTTACATCGTCCGTGAAGGGGATCCAGTTGACGAGATGCTTTTCATCATTCGCGGACGCCTGGAGAGTGTAACTACAGATGGTGGAAGGAGTGGATTTTTCAACAGAGGTGTATTGAAAGAAGGGGACTTTTGTGGTGAGGAGCTTCTGACTTGGGCACTGGACCCTAAATCTCTCGGTAATTTGCCATTATCAACTAGGACAGTGAGGGCATTGACTGAGGTAGAAGCTTTTGCCTTAGAAGCTGAAGAGCTGAAGTTTGTTGCATCTCAATTTAGGCGTCTTCATAGCAGGCAGTTGCAACACACCTTCCGTTTCTACTCTCAGCAATGGAGGACTTGGGCTTCCTGCTTTATCCAAGCTGCTTGGCGCCGGTATTCCAGGAGGAGAGCAGCAGAACTTCGTCGCCTAGAAGAAGAGGAGGAGGAAGAGGAGGTAGATTATGACGAGGAAGATGATGATGAAAGGGCATTAGTTGACGAAAATGATGGCTCTGCTAGACTAGGTGCAACAATCCTTGCTTCACGCTTTGCTGCCAATGCTCTTCGTGGACACAGGCTTCGCAGCTTGAATTCCAGAGCCTTGATGAAGCTGCAGAGGCCTCCAGAACCTGACTTCAGTGAGGAGTAATAAGTGGAAGCAGGGATGGTTTTATCTATCTGGATATTCTTATACATTTTTATCATTGGAAAGTAGAGAGTAGTATCATTTCAACCTGTTCAACCAAATTATGTTATATTTTGTATTGTTAGCAGCAGCGCCTTGCAAATTAGCTATGGTGTACCTCAAATAAGGTTATTGAAACATCACTTGGGTATATTAACATGTTAAGTCCGTTGTCTTACATCTAAAAGCAAACCACTCACAGCTTGTCTTAAATTTGTCCATCTCATTAGAGGCTGGTGTAAGATTTGACACCGTGCATGCAGATTAACTGTCGACTCTCTACAAGAATTTGAACAAAATTTCAACCAAGAAAGAATGAAAATCCTTGAACAAATTCAAGAACTTGTATTCTTTCCCAGGTCGAGTAGTAATGTTTGAGTTGCCGAGTCTTGTAGTTCATTTCTACTGTTTTCTTACCGGGCACTGATACAGAAATCAGAAGTCAAGCAAACATCTGGACCAAAGCATGATGAATCTCATAATTCTTGCAATATTCTATGTGCTCCTGTCAAATTAGGAGCATTTCCTTCCAAACCAAAGGGTTAAACAGTAATGGGCTCAGTCGAGCATTGCGTTCTGCAACTAAGCAGAGAATAGAACATGACCGAAGTTCCTGTGCGTTCTTTACAATAGCCGCGTGTTTGTGCGTTATTCACTTTATCAAAAGATACATAAATGAGATTTATGAAAGGAAACTAGGATTGAAGTGGGTATAAAATACATAGGGTAGGAAATGATGAAAGAAAGAACAAATCAATCTCCAACACCGAAACCTCGCGTGAAACTTCGCTGCTTGACTTTCAATAAGCATCTGATGTGTGCTTCTCTGCTTGCTGCTGCTAACTCAACTGCGCCAATCAGAAGATGTTTCAAGTTTAACATCTTCTTCCTACCAAGTGGCAGACTGCAATACTTATCATGCAACTAACATCATGGAAATCCAGGTGATCTTTTTATTGTCACACATTGTTGATAGCAATATAACAAGCACTTGGTAGCTAAGGGAAGTAGGTCCAGCTTGTCTGGAAAAGCAAATGCATACCTCACCAAGTGTGAAGCGCGTCACACTCTCTGCTACACAAGAGTATGAGCCATCTGCTCGTTTAAGCATCACCTGCCAAGGCCCTGCACCTATTCCGATTTGGATAAGAGACATAGAATAAACTATTCAAACCTAGATCAGCTGAAAGGAGTGTATTGATATTGATGGAAATCAGATAATTATTCGTAGAAACCATCATCAGTTACTGCATAGAAGATATAAAGGATGAACATGTCTTCGAAATAAGCAGAGTTGGGATGGCTTGGAGGAAGCTATTGAAGGCTAGCTTATCTGTTGCATGATAAACGATAGCCTAACTCAAGCCTTGGATACATAGCATTTCTAGCTGTGTCCTTTCTATATTCAAGTGAAGTACATTACTGAAAACTATGCATGATTCTGCTTAGGAACCAGGATGAGGTACTCTACAACCAAATCATGTATGTGAGCATAGCATGCCCCTAAAAGCAATCATCCATGAACAATCTGTTCAAGATTAGCAACATCAACTTATTGTGCCAGTAGAGAAGCACCAAAACAGCGCTGTTAGGCCAAGATGGTAGGATAACAGCCTTTTCTAAATTAATATGCCGAGCTTTATCCATGAAATTTTCACAATAAACTACATAACCAAGATCAGAGATGGTGCAAGAACTAGTATTAATAAAATCAAGATTTATTTCGTATATTATTACTACTACCTTCTACGTTGTGTGGCCTTCAAACAAATTATTATAAATTAGAAATGCAAAGGTTGATTTAATTTTCTATTTTCTTAGTGCTGGTAGAACACTGCATTAGGATATCCTGTCTACTGGGTTCGAAGAAAAGATCAGAACTCATGGTTATCTTTTAAGACTTAAATTCAAAGAAAAACTGCAAATTTTTTTTTTGAAGAGGTTGGCCTCACATAGTGTGCTTTCCAGACTCCTTTCCTTATCATCAGAACTCGAACAGTTCTTGTTCATTGGCTTATTGGTATGGCGTTTGAGTGCGATTGGATTAGCTGTTAAGAAAAGGCATTTTGTTTTTTCTCTGGAGTTATTCTGTACCAAAACCTATCATGGAACACTTTCCTGACATGATGAAGCACTCCATAATTATTACTTGAAAGTGCAAGCAAAGCAGATCTTAAAAAATATTCCATCCTTTTTCTATCATTGATCTTTTATTCGTCCTCGTCCATTGATGGGCAAAAAAAGATAAAGAAAAGCTTCCTCAAACGCACTATGCTTCTATATATATATATATAAAAGCTGATTGAAGTCTATACTCACTACAATGTTTGCAAATACAAAAGAGAGAATCTTTTGTTCAGTAAAGAGAGTTAAAGAAAAAAAAACAGAAAAAAGAAGAAAGCAATGGGAGGAAGAGGCTACGATGGCTTAACTTTATCGATAATATTCTCTTACCTTTCCCACTTTTCATGGCTGCTTCCTCGAATCATTATCATGTTCATTATATATATATATATATATATATATATATAATGTTGAAATGAAAGAAATTACAATTTCTATTTCATAATAACCAAAAGTAACATGTCATGTATGAATGAATTGAGATTATGATAATTATTATTATTTTGCAAAGTATTTTTTTAAAATATAATATTTTTTATTATTTAAAAATTATTTTTGACATTAACACATTAAAATAATCTAAAATTAAAAAAAATTAAAATTTTTCAAAATTTATTTTTAACCACAAAAACAAAAACTCTCTCATCATTTTTTTTCCCCTTTTAAATAGCAACTTTGAAAACATAAATATAAAACTTGTTTATTTTTGTTTTCATGTTTTCAACAACAACAATAATAAAATAACCAAGATTTTGATTTGCACCGCAAATGCCCTCCATTTTTTATTTTTATAAGATTTTTTTTTATAAAATTTTAAAAAATTGACTTTCCATTGGTTATTTTATACAAAAACATCTTTCCTTCATAAGATGATATTGAATTTTTGTGTTATTTCAAGAGATATTTTTGAAGTGGATAGTGGTTAATAGAGTAATTCTTAATTATAATTTCCAAATTAAATGAGCAGCCCGGAAAATAAATATTTTTTATATTTTTATAAATTTAAAAACAAAAATTAAGAATAAAAACAGTAAATGACATAAAAAATCGCCCCTTATTTTATATAAAATTTATTCTATTTAAAAAGATTTTTTTTTTTCATGACTTGAATCCTGGCCTTTGATTAGAACCCAACAGCATAAACCCCAACTCAAACCTTCTTACTATTAAATTTTAGAATTGGTTTTGAGGAGGAAAAATGAAAAAGATTTAAGAGCCCCAAAACTCCTGTCCATCCCCGGGTGATGTTAAAATTGCCAGTCAATGCGAAAGTCCAAAAGAAGGACACGTGGAGTTATACTAGCTCCAACAATCCCTCGACCGTTTTTCTCTCTGCTAGCCTAGTGCAACACGAACACTTGTTGTCTTGTCTATGTTTTGCTCCAAAAAACTCAGAGATCATGGAGTTCAAGAAGTCCCTCTTTTGCCCTAATTCTCCCTTTGTACGTACTTTTCTCTCCCTCTCTCTTCTCTTCCCTCTACTCTGCAACTCTCCTTTCCTCTCCTTATCATTTCCTCCGATTACTACTCTGTTCAATTACTCTTTTTTTACTCGTGAAATCTCTGTTTGGTTTGCTAGAAAGTGAATTTCTTTAAGCCCATGTGCTTTTCTATCCTTGATATATTCTCCTTCTCGGAATTCTCTCTAATATAACTTCCCATTTTTTTTAAAATTTTTTTTTCAGGTATGGGAGGGAAACACATTCTCGGAGTGTTTTGATAATTTATATCCTTACTCTTTTTTTTTTAATACATATTGAGGTTTTGTTTGTAATGTAACGGCTTCTTCTATTCTATATATAAATTGCTTTTCTTTAACATGCTTACAGTTCCAGGATTCAGTGCGAACGTTGTCACCATTGTTATAATTTTGGTGCTTGCAGTTACTCGAAGCAATGCCAGTCGAGTTCCCAGGGTAGATTCTTTAACGTTTGATTTATTTGGTTGTTGAAAATGTAAAAGAAGGGAAAAACGAAGTAAATGAATGAGGGTTTGATGGCCCAGTTGGCCTGTTAAACTAAAATATTAGTGGAGATAGCAGTGTTCCTTTTGAAAATTCACTCGAATAACTTTTTTTTTAGCCAGCCAAGGAACCTCCTTGGATGATGGATCTTTGTTAAACATATCTTCTTGATTATTAAAAAAATCTACTTTCATTTGTTTCCTTAAACTTCTTACATTGTTTCTGTACTGTAAAACCCACATGTTGAACATGAAGTTGGCAAACCTCTGGATGCTTCACACTTCACTTCCTGTTATGACTTTCCATCTTCTTCTATTTTTTCCCCTTTTATCACTGAATTTGAGTAGGGTCTCGAGATTCTCCCTCAAAGTAGTTGTTAAAACTTTAATGGATTAATATTTTTACAGTAATTGTGCAGATAAGATGTAAAGAAAAGACTGTTTTTCGTTTTCTTCCTTTACTGGGAGCACTTGTCTCATTTATGGACTTGATTTTGCTGGTGAATAAAGAACTTCATGGAAACTTTATTGCATATCATGAGTGGCTTTTCAGAAGTTCTCAATTGATAGTCTGGGTAAGCTTTTCTAATCTCAAGCTGTTTGTTTTGCTGCCATGAACTGTTGCATTAACTCAAGATTTCTTTCGTAAATTCATGCAGACAGTTATCATAATATCATCTATTTGTGCCTGCTTACATGATGTTTTTTGCAACCGGTTCCTATGTTTCTGGTGGATCATGAAATCACTATTAGGAATCCTTCATCTGCATAGAGCATTTGGTTCAATGGAGGTAATACTATTTCCATTTTTATTCCCTCTCTCCATGTTGCCGAATCCTAGATTCCTGCTTGATTTATTGTGTTGCTTTTTGTTACGTTGGCTAATTGTTTTGTTCAGATATTGTAGAAATCAGATATCTCTGTTTTTTTTCTCTGCAAAACAGAAATCATAAATTTGTAAAACTCCTCAAAAGTATGTATGGTGTTTAGACTTTTAGGCATGCAATATTTCTTTCTTTCCTGGTAAGTTGAAGGGCGAGCTTGAAACTTCTTTGGCTGCAGGTCTTGAAATGCCTTAAAGACAGTTGTGTTGTTTTGTTAGATGTCATGTTTGGCATATCCATCAACATTATCAGGATAAAACGGGCATCTCCCAAGAGCAGGTATCACTATTCATTTGTTTGCTTGTAGCATCCTTAAATAATAGGAGCTTCATCTTGTCTCTTATTTCCCGTTGAGTGTTATTCTATACATATGTGAATGCTTGACCTTGTCATTTTTCTAATATTTATTTCTATTGGCCATACTGTAACTTGTAGTTCAATGGAAGATCCACTTCTTTCAGTGGACACAGACATCGAGGAGGGTTTTCATGGAGACTCTGTAAGTAATTTGTTGTCTTTTTAAATTTCCAATGTAAGATCTGTTTTTTCTTTTTTTCTTTTTCCTTTCATAACTTAAAATTGTTAAATGGGTTATATATATATATATATCCACACATTTTTTCTTATGCTGCTTAGAAACATTCATCTATTTTAAATTTTTGAAATTGTGTTTCCTGCTAGTCCTTCCCCTAACTTTTTTCTGTAGCTACTTATTTTTTCAATTTGTGCAGTTGTTAAAATATGGCCAGAGTTTGTTTTAATTAGTTCTCTGTCTTGTATAATACAAAACCTGAACCCAAATTATATACAATATTTTTGCAAGCCTGGTCAACATATGAATCTACCCTCCTTGATTGCTTTATTGGATATCTTGGCTATGATAAGCTCATAGTTTGTTAGATCAGGATGGTACATTGCATATTGGATTACTCTGTTTGTCTTTGGTTTTCTTTAAGAATCAAATCTCCTTTTGGAAAAGGACGATATCACCGTTTCCTTTTTCATGAGTAATTCAGTGTCAATTACATGATTGAGTCGAGGCTTGTGTATATAATAAGATGCTTCTCTATGGTGCTGATTGTTAGTTTTTTTCCTCCATTGAAAGTAAAAAGTAGTGATTATTTGTACCTCATGTTTTGTCAAGGGAAATGCTAAGAGCTATTGGGATCACATGACATTCAGAACTATCACTTCTGTGATGAATCATGGAGTCATAAAGCAGCTTGGATTTGATGATTTACTTTTGCTACCTACTGACATGGAGCCTTCTACCTGTCATGATAAATTGTCAAGCTGCTGGAGAGTTCAGCTGAGCAGTCCTAACCCTTTCTTCTTTAAAGCAATCTTTTGTGCATACGGATGGCCGTATCTTTGTCTTGGTCTGCTTAAGGTAATTTAATTCCTTCAACATGAAGTCCTGTTATGTTATAATGCTTATATGCTAATGATGCTGATTCTGGTTTTAGCATAATTGTCCATTTATTCGTTAGATAAATATGGAGAGCGTGTTTTTCATTTGAATTGTGAATTACTGATATAACTCTTTGTTTTAAGGTCCCCCTCTGTTAGTTCTCTTTTTCATCATACTGATTTTGTCTCAATCATTTGATTCACCTACTGAAGGTTCTCAACTAAAA